ATCAAATGCATTCCCATGAGTGCCCCGAGAAGCACCTCTGAGTAACTGAGACTTGGGATCGGGAGCCACGCCAGCTGTGTTCCAGTTTCACTCCCGGCACTTGACATCTTGCTGCTGTTACATGAGGGGCCCTCACATTCCTGGAAGATGTTTATGATGCGAGAGCTGTGCATGGATTTCCTTTTTTTTTTTTTCAGCAAAGTGAACTGTAAATTCCATTTTCCATGAAGCTTTTGAAGCATCACATCTAATCTTTCTATGTTTCTCTGTCCTCATCTGTGAAAATGGGCATGGTAAGAGGAGTTCAGATGACAATTAGCTGAGTGAGTGCACAGGGTATGCTTAGCAACTTCCTGTCACAGATGTCTGCTCCGTCAATGTTAGGTAGTGGTCTGCGGAGCCAACAGTCCCGGGAACCAAGACAAACATAGCCTTGCTCCCCGTACTCAGCCATTTATAATTTAATCACTTTTAAAAGATTTATTTATTTGAAAGAGTTACACAAAGAAAAGAGAGGCAGAAGAGACAGAGAGAGTGAGAGGGAGAGAGGGAAGGAAGGGGAGAGGGAGGGAGGGAGGGGTAGGTAGGTATTCCATCCACTGGCTCACTCCCCAGAAGGCTGCAACAGCTGGAGCTGGGCCAATCCAGAGCCAGGAGCTTCTTCCAGGTCTCCCATGCAGATGCAGGGGCCCAAGCACTTGGGCCATCTTCCACTGCTTTCCCAGACCATAGCAGAGAGCTGGATTGGAAGTGGAACAGCCAGGACTCGAACCGGCACCTACATGGGATGCTGGCACCGCAGGCAGTGGCTTTACCAGCTATGCCACAGCGCTGGCCCCAATAATTTTTTTCTTAAGTTAGTAATCCTTACTGGTATTTTTAAATACCAGTAAAAAGTTATTGGAGATGGGGAGAGAACGCTGATCTGGTGGTTCACCCTCCAGATGCCTGCAATGACCCTAGCCAGGGGCAAAGTCAGGAGCCAGGAAGTCAACCCAGGTTTCCCATGTTGGTTGGGGGAAATCCTATGATGTGAGCCGTCCCTGCTGTCTCCCGGGCTATGCATTGGCCAGAAGCTGGGGGTAGGACCTGGAGCCAGGAATAAACCCCGAGTGCTGTGATATGGGGCATTGGTATCTTAACAGACACCTCAACTGCTAGGCCTAACACTTGACCCACCATTATTATTATTTTTTTTTTTTTGACAGAGTAGACAGGGAGACAGAGAGAAAGGTCTTCCTTTGCCGTTGGTTCATCCTCCAATGGCCGCCGCGGCTGCCGCGCTGCGGCCAGCACACCGTGCTGATCCAATGGCAGGAGCCAGGTGCTTCTCCTGGTCTCCCATGGGGTGCAGGGCCCAAGCACTTGGGCCATCCTCCACTGCACTCCCTGGCCACAGCAGAGAGCTGGCCTGGAAGAAGGGCAACCGGGACAGAATCCGTCGCCCCGACCGGGACTAGAACCCGGTGTGCCGGCGCCGCAAGGCGGAGGATTAGCCTAGTGAGCTGCAGCGCCAGCCCCTACCATTATTCTTGGCGGAAGTTGGAAAAATCCTAGATTAGGAGGTGCAGAAAGTAGGAAGGCATTTTGATGAAGGAAGTAGCACCAATAGAGTTAGATATAGACTCAGGAAAATGGAAAGGCCCAAGCAAAACAATTTCTTGAATGAATTCATAGGAAATGATAAAATAAGAGAAACATGCAGATTGAGACACAATTGCCTTTATAGTTGAACTTCTCTTTAGGAGTGAGGTTTGAAGTAGATTTTCCTAGAAGACATCTAGAAACTGGAAGTTACCCTTCCTGGGCAGTCTGTGAGACTTCTGTGGTTGCATTCTCCACAGCCTCCGGAGTTAGGGTGTCCTGGAAGGCAGCATGGTGGCCAAGTGGAGTTGAGAAAAAGGCAAGCGGTGCAAGTGCTTTGGAAACTCGGCTACCTCGCTACTCTGGTGTTGGTCCCATACCTACTGCTTCTCCACTGGGGCCACATTAGAGTCAGCAGTGGAGCCTTTTGAAAATGATGTCTTCATCAACCAAACCAGAGAGCCCACGCTAGTTATGTCTCACCCTTAGGGTGCCCTTAACCTCTGCAAGGGACACCCAAGGTCAGAGCCACTCAAGTACACAAGGAGTCCTTGAACTTCACGTCAGAATCACCCAGATGTCCCAAGAGACTACTTATGTCTGAGACCCACTCACAGAGTTTCCCATGCAGTTGGTCTTGTGTGTATCCTGGTCCACTGCCATTTTAATATGGAGCCAAGACTGAGAGCCACTTAGGCTTTCTTTATCATCTACAACTGAGAAACAAACCAGTATACTGAAAATCAGCAGCATTTTGAAGCTTAAATCCTGTATTGAGTGAAGAGCAGGCTAGGGTAGCGTAAGGAAGCAGCACCTGGTACCAACCTGAGACGTGACCCCACCATCCAGAGTGCATTGCTCTGGGTATTTAATGTGCCCTCACTTGTTTGTAGATCGCACAGTTCTCAGCTGTGTCATCAATCTTTAATCATCTCTCTCCCTGGTCATTTGGATAAGTGGTTTCACAGAGAGGATAAGTGATGGTGAGCCAGGGATGGGCCATCTGAGTATGTCATTGGTCTTAAAGTTCAAAGTGAGAGAACCAAATGTCAATAAAAATAGCTTTATACAGCGGAAACAGACAATAAGAAACCTGCCCCTACTAATGGTCCAGGAAGAGTTCTTTGTTGGCTGAACATGTGGGACACCCCTCCCCATCTTTACTGTGGTAAACCTTTCCTATTGATCACAGTTATAGTCAGGCACAGTTGAGAGAGGGGGGTGAGCACAAGATTGTTCTTGTGGAATTAAGACACTTTTGTGATGCTTCTCAGTGACATTCCTAGGATGCAATGAAATCGTAAGGATCTAAAAATAGTGGCAGTCATTTGGGGAGTGAACCAACGGAAGGAAGACCTCTCTCTCTCTCTCTCTCTCTCTCTCTCTCTCTCTCTCTCTCACTGTCTAACTCTGCCTGTCCAAAAAAAAAAAAAAAATAGTGCAGGACTGATGTATCCATTAGCAATTAAAAAAAAAGAAAAAACACACACTGAAGCTCTTTTTGGCACTGCTGTGGAGTCCATGAGGCATTCTTTTAAACATCATTATTGCCGACTCCTTTAGCTTAGAGCTAGACTTGGTTTCGTAGTCAGAAGTCATCTAAGTGTTTCCAACAGGATGAGTTATCAAAGGAAAGGAATCCCTTTTGTTCAGAAACTTGCTCAGGATCCCAAAGATGGGTAGGGGAGGTCGGAATCAGAATACGTAGGTGACCATCAAAGGGGAAAGGAAGGGAAGAAGGGAGAGAGGGAGGAAAGGGGAGAAATGAGAAGCAATAGATGGAGGGGTAAAGGGAATGGAAATGGGTAACTCTCAGTTCATAGTGTCAGAAACATGGGCACCTAACTCATCAGTTCGTGAGAGCCTGTTCCTAAGGGCCCGCCCCTGGGACACCCAGGCCACCTTTGTTGGTGAGAGCAGTGCTCTCCTGGGCACTCTGCACAGGTCCTTGGGAGGGCTTCTTGAGTGCCCCCTAAGAATATCATACCTGTAAGGAGGGGTGCCTGCGTCTTTACCCCTTGTGGAGATCAAGGATCGGTCAGAAAGAGTTTAAACAAAATATCTCCTTCGTTTTCAAGGATGTTAATTTGCACCTTAAGCCTAGGGAATTGGAAGCCAGATATTCAGGGAGTTCAAAAAAAAAAATCCATGTTAAAAAGATAGCGAAAAATCCAATGAAATTAATAATTTTATTGTTTTAAGGGAGGCAATAAATGAACTTAATTGTGACTTTTGTTATTGGAACTTGCAACAAGTTAAAATAAAGACTTTCTCCAAACATGTAAAATTTGGTTTCAATTTTATTGGAATAGCTATAACTAGAATTTGCAACTGAAAGTTAAATTCTAGGGAGTGTTCAAATGGTAGCTCTGTTTATAGTCCAGTATACCTCTTACAACCCTGAAGCTTTCTTAAGATATTTTAAAGAAATGTTCAGTCACTAAATGCTTTGTGAAGCAGTGAAGATTTGAACAAAACCAGTCACATGAAGACCCCCTAAAAATGCATGTAGCTTGGTACTTGCTGATCCATATGCATAGTGAAATAGAACAAATGAGAACCCAGCTTCTCTGTTGCTGCTTTTGAGGCATTGAAGAACCTAGCCAGTCTCATTGGGCCGGTTTTCTAATCTGCCTGGCACAGACATTGTCTTTTCTAGAGAAATCAGAAGTAGCTGTGAATTAGGAGACATTCCATTGTGGAGAAGCTATAGTTTCAAACAACTTAAGAGAGTTTTGTCATCTTTTTGGATTTACTAAATCAAAACGGCATTTTCATTTTTGCTTTTTAATTTGAGATTGTTAAAAATCATTTGGCAGGATAGGGTTTATTTCAGCTGATGCATTCTCTTACCTCCTCTAGATAGCAAGCCCAGTTTGTTGAGGAAATTATTATCCATAACATGACACCATATAATATTCTCTTCTGAAGTGACAGCATTTCTTGTTTCCCTTAAAATATTTTTACAAACTTTGATAAGGTCTGAAATTTTATTATTTTCTTAGCTAGCTTTAGTATACTCTTTTTCCCCAAAAAATGCAATGTTTTTTTTTTTAAAAAAAAGCAATCTCCTGTTAGCATAGAAATCTGCGTAAGTGCAGTTTGAACTGCTCTGGCCTTGGAAGCATCCTGGCATGACGTCCTGGTAACACATAGTATTAATATCCCTGTGCAACAGCTTGTACATGGCCCATACTCGGACATGCCCATGATTCCGTGTCAGAGGTCCCCGCATGCCTGTTTCATGATCTTTCTAAACTCTCAGAGTCGCAGGCACATCAGCACATTCCTTGCAACATCCATTCCGATGCAGCACCTACCCCTCCCTTCCCCTCATCCGTACACCTCGAGCCAGTCGGCAGAGAGCACATGTCCCCCTAAGCGAGCAGTATTGTGAATCTTATCTTCTCTTCCAGAAATCAGTTCGTCTTCGTTGCAGCAGATGAAATTTCTTGTAACACCTCTGCAGGTAACAAACGTTGCTACTTCTTGATGCATCCATCCAAATCTCAGTATCCTTTTTTTTTTTTTTTCTTCTTCACATGCTGCAGTTGGTCACATTAGAAAGTTTAGTTTGAAAATAAAAAACAGTGTATCTTTGGAGTATAGCAGAAGCCTTTGAGCTCTGCTGTGTAAAAAGGACACGAGGCATTTGGCTAATTGTGATGTTTTATTTCTAATTTTAGTAATACGTGGTCCAGAAAAATAAGGCTATGTTGAATGGTTTCACAGCAAAATCTCCTGGTATAATCAGCACTCTTCTGGTAAAATACTCAGTAGGGGATAGGAAGGGCATAGACACGTGATATGAATTCTGTCTGGGTTCACAGAGATTGATGTGTGAATTATTTGGAATCTTTATGGAATATGATAGGCACTGAAAGACTGAGTCTATAAAGCTAGGGGCATTAGGGGAATCAAATGCAGTTATCTTTGTCTTAAGGGGATCTTCAGTCTACCGGTATTAGCAAAGATCCTCTATTTCCTTTCTTTTAAAACATATCATGAGTAGTAGAAACTTACAGAAACAGTCTTTAAAATAAAAAAAAAAAAAAAACAGCACATTTGCCAATGGAAATTGCACAGTTGCATGATGTGTCCATCACAATAATGCCTGTCTGTTTGCTTTGGTGTGGTTCAGAGAACAGTTAAATTTGGACTTTGATTAGCATGGGATTACTCGATTAAATGCCAAGATAGGTGAGTGCCTTAACTAACCAGATTTCACCCCCGCTGCCATCATTTTGTTTGTTTTTGTGACCCAAAACTACTGCTAGGGAATCTTGCCAGGGTCTTGCTTTTAGCCAGCGAGGGAGAATCTATACGTAGCTGAGCGTCCCATGAGCTGAAAAAGCACATACCCAGCTGTCACTGGTCGCATCTGTCAACAGAGCAGTGCAGGCAGGCGATGTGCTAAGGCTTTGCTCCCAGTTGAGAGTCTCTGGTGAGAGTGAATGGAAGGGAAGGCAGCTAGAATTGTGCTCACCCTGAAAAGTCTGCACCAGTTCCATTTACCTGGTGGGTCTCGGCATTTTTAATGGTGATTTAAGGTCTTACCCTGTGAGTTTAAGAGGCATGCATGCTTGTATTGGAAAGAAGCGGCGCACTTTCTAGGAAAGCTCTGTGTGTCTGCTGCTCCCTGTGAGGTGCAGTGACACCCTTAACCCTGCACTAATGCCTCGTGGTAGAAAATCAAATGTGTGCTACACCTTTGGAAGTGGTGGGGGAATGATGTTGGGGTAGGAGAGTCGTTTGGCATCTTCAGAGAGAGCTTTAAGGCAATGGCGCCTGAAAGCTTGAAGGGGAGACTGGTTGGGAGGGAGTAGGAATGGGGAGGAACGTTGGTTAGTAGGTGCCATTTGTGGATGCACTGCTACTCCCCAGCTCTGCCTTCCCTCTGAACCCTGTGCATGTCCCTGGGTGTCTTAGGTCACATCGTGACATCACAGATCAGATGCGGGAATGTCGCAGCATAGATGGTAGGCGTGGACTCGGCTGTGCCACCTAGTAGCCCCTGCCATCTCAGCAGGGGCTGCACACACATGTTCCCAAGAGGAGTGGCAGACAGCAGAGGTCCCTGCGAGTGTGGCATGTGCTTACACCCCCTTTAGCTAATGTGGCGTGGCTGCTCATTAATCCTTAATGAATTGCTATTGATCACATTTGACATTGGGAGAGAGATACCTGTTCCTTTGATGGCCATATTAATAATATGCGTTATGCTTGCTAAGATTCCATCTGAAGCCTGTGTTTTGAATCAAGTGTGACAAAGGAGGCGGCATATCGCCTAGTGTCACGTTATCTTGGCAGCCAGTCTACCCTCCTCCTTGAGTGAAAATGGAAAATCAGAACTGTGGGGTCAGCATGGGCCGTGGACACACAGAACCACCCAGGGTGCCCTCATTCTAAACAGCAGATGGCCTGAGCTGTGAGTGTCCAGTCCCAAGCTTCCAGTAGGGTGGCTTTAGTGAGTCCTGGGAGCTGCTGGTTATCAGGGGTTGACACAAGGCAAGTCCTCTCCTTTTAAGTGGAGCAAGAAAGAGAACAAGATGCTTAAGATCTCAGTGTGTGGGGCTTGCTGGATTTTATAGCTGAAATTCTTAGGACGCTGTGTTCTTGTTACCTTGCTGGCCACAGTTTTATTCATGGCTGCAGGTGGGGATGACGAGATGGCAATCATTGCACCGTGGCAGCCGCAGTGCCCCCCAGGGAACGTGAGCGTTTTTATCTTGTTGTAGATGATGTCAGAAATGCCTGGTGTGCTTTTGCCAGTCACATGGAACACACGCCCCATGCTGGCATCTGTGGTCTGTAGGAGTGTACTCACCAGTAAGCGTATCTTCTTAGAGGCTCCAGCAATGACTTTTTTTTTTTTTTTTTTTGACAGGCAGAGTAGACAGAGAGAGAGGCAGAAACAAAGGTTTTCCTTTTGCCGTTGGTTCACCCTCCAATGGCCGCCGCGGCTGGCTCACCGCACTGATCCAATGGCTCATCGCACTCCCATGGGGTGCAGGGCCCAAGCACTTGGGCCATCCTCCACTGCATTCCCTGGCCACAGCAGAGAGCTGGCCTGGAAGAGGGGCAACCGGGACAGAATCCGGCGCCCTGACCGGGACTAGAACCCAGTGTGCCAGCACCGCTAGGCGGAGGAGTAGCCTATTGAGCTGCGGCGCCGGCCTCCAGCGATGACATTCTTCATCTGGTTGTGTTTTGTTCGGGCAGCTCCTAAAGAGCAGGGACTCACTTGGGGAGTCCCTGGAGACTGCATTTTCGCAGCAGCAGAACGGCACCTGGGGGGCATCTACCTTGGGCACTGAGAAGCTTCTGTCTTGCCAGCACCTAGAGTGTTTGATGAGTTGGGGTCTGCAGGAGATGGCCGAAGTCGGGGGAGGATTTTCCCTTCTTAGACTGGAGGTTTGCTTGCCCCTGGGATCCACTGGAACTCTTCCAGGATGGTCCAGTAAGGCAGCAGTAGGTGGGCCTGGTGGGGGACTAAAAGGTCATTTCACCCAGTCTGCGTCTATCGAGTGATTGTCCTGTGTCAGAAACTGTGCTAAGCTCTGAGGTCATCGCGTTCCATGAGCTAGGAGAAACCTTCCATTACCCCCAAACCATGTATGATGGATAAGCGTGTAATGTATCTGTGTGATTTATTAGAAGAATGAACCAAAAAGCAGGGCAGGGGACAGAGAGGTGCGATCTACTTTAGAGTCACTGGTTGTAGAGGGCTTCTGTGAAGAGAGGACTTTGAACAGGGGCCCAGAACAGAGTGAGCCATATATATAATTGTGGAATTGCAAGTACTTCTGGCTGAGTGTGCGGCAAGTACAAAGGACCTGTGGTTGAGAGGTGTCCGATTTCCAGTGTGGGCTAAGTACATCTGTGAAGGAGAGTTTTTGAGAGAGATTTCAGAGACACAGCCAGAGGGCAGAGACGTTAGAGCTTGGAGACCGTGCAGAGCATTTGGGATTTGAAGTGCAAGAGGAAAGCTCTGGAAGGCGGGCTGTGATCTGACTTATTTGTGAAATGCTCCATTAGGCTGCTTGGTGGAGCCCAGACCCCACTATGGCAAACACAGAAGAGAGGGCATCAGTTGCAAGGGGGGGAGGTGCTTTTAGCTGTCCAGAGAGGGGTGACAACAGCTCGACCCCGCTATTGCTGTGTGGCTACTGAGCAGTGGTCGTCTCTGAGCTGTGTTTTTGAGTGGGATGTGTGGTTGGATTAGAAATCTCCAAGGGTCCCTCTGGGTTAAGTGACCACTCCCTCTCTCCTGCTCTCTGGCTGTCTCAATTATTTCCAAGCAGTCACTGTGAAAAGCCAGCCCTGTTTCTCTGCAGTTATTCTTCCTTGTATAAGGTTTGCTGGGTTTTCCAGGGTATAATTTTAGTTGCTGTCATTTATTGAGCAAATTCTATGTGCGAGCTGGTTGAGTAAGTGCTGTGGATGTGTGTGTGTGTGCATGCAAATAAAACTTACCACTCAGCTATGTGAGACGGGGGTTATCATCATCCCCTTGTTGGAGATTAAAAGATAAAAACACAGCCAGAGCCGTGGCTCACTAGGCTAATCCTCCGCCTTGCGGCGCCGGCACACCGGGTTCTAGTCCCGGTCGGGGTGCCAGATTCTGTCCCGGTTGCCCCTCTTCCAGGCCAGCTCTCTGCTGTGGCCCGGGAGTGCAGTGGAGGATGGCTCAAGTGCTTGGGCCCTGCACCCCATGGGAGACCAGGAGAAGCACCTGGCTCCTGCCTTCGGATCAGCACGGTGCGCCTGCCGCAGCGTGCCGGCCGCGGCGGCCATTGGAGGGTGAACCAACGGCAAAGGAAGACCTTTCTCTGTCTCTCTCTCTCACTGTCCACTCTGCCTGTCATAAAAAAAAAAAAAGATAAAAACACACTTATGCCCAGAGAGCCTTGGTAACTCATGGGGTCCATCAGTGCCAAAACTCTTTGCACTCGGTCACACTGGCTCCTGGGTGCTTCCTTACCTTGACCTTGGAACAAGGACTTTCTGCCTCTAGGTGGAATTGTCCTTGCTTTAGCAAAGCTGTCTTGGCTCCTGGAAACCTGAGTGGCGTTGTTGCTCAGTTGTTGAGGGAAGGCAGGGTCATTGGCTGCTTCTCTAGACCTGTCCTGCTGGGAGTTTCTGCAGGTTGGTGCGTCTGTGTCGGCAGCAGCTCTATGTTGAGTGCTTCTGCACGCTGGGCACTGGCCTCACTGTGGAGATGGAGCGGTGACGGGAGCAGAGGCCAGATCCAGGAGTGTGTTGCACACTCGGGGAGTCTGAGGTTTAGACAAACAAGGTGTGGTCTAGCTTAGTGTGCACCGTACACAGGGCTTGAACCGGTCACTTCTGATACTGAGTTGAAGGTGGAGATCTCCCCGCTGGCCCCTGCTGGAGGGAGTAAGAGAAAACGTATGTACACGGTGCAGGTGAAGGCTGGGATTGTAGCATCAAGGCCAAAATCCCAAG